ATGTGTGTAGTTCTAGGATATTTATTGAGATTTTTTTTGTTCAGGGGAGCTTCATCAATCCAATGACTGACAAAGTTCTTGAGAGTGAAATACAGTGGACCCCCGGTTAACGATATTTTTTCACTCCAGAAGTATGTTCAGGTGCCAGTACTGACCGAATTTGTTCCCATAAGGAATATTGTGAAGTAGATTAGTCCATTTCAGACCCCCAAACATACACGTGCAAATGCACTTACATAAATACACTTACATAATTGGTCGCATTCGGAGGCGATCGTTATGCGGGGGCCCACTGTACTTCATCAATATTCTAGCACTGCATGTGTTATATGTACATACTTGTCCGTATTTAATACCATCTCTTACCGTGTATTGACATGTTTAATATAGTTAACACAAATGCTCATTATTTCCACTTCATGCCAGTTTAACATGACACATTATTAGTAAGCACAACATTAAATATTAAAGATAAGAATAAGAACAGATGGCCAAAGAGGGTGTCATCAACAAGGAATTGCAATACACTTTGAACAAAAAGTTGGGAGAATTATCAGCCAAAAAATACATTATACTTCATTATACTCTATAAAAATCACTTTTCATGTTTTTTAAAAGCTTTAATTTACTTACGGTTTTCACACGTAATAAGATGATAATTAGTAAATACATAGGCTAATGTTACTCCATTTTTGCATAACTTGTTCTCAACCTCCAAGAGGTTGCTGCTTCCCTCTATGGTATGTGCTAACTAGACAATGCAGTGTGGCCAAGCTGGCCACTGAGAATGTCTTTAATTAAAATTTCCAGATTAGTTGTGAAGAGTTACTTCACAGACAAGTTCCATGTATAGGCAAATCCACCTTCTTGTAACCATAGTGCCACATGATAAATTCATGGAAAGTACTAAAACCATACGAGTCAAGCAGTGCTGCCAGAGCAAGTTTGAGAGAGAGAGAGAGAGAGAGAGAGAAGAGAGGAGAGAGAGAGAGAGAGAGAGAGAGGTAGAGAGAGGAGAGAGAGGAGAGAGAGAGAGGAGAGAAGATGGAGAGAAAGAGGGAGAGAGAGAGAGAAGAGAGAGAAGAGAGAGAGAAAGAGAGAAAGAGAGAGAGAAGAGAGAGAGAGAGAGAGAGAGAGAGAGAGAGAGAGAGAGAGAGAGAGAGAGAGAGAGAGAGAGAGAGAGAGAGAGAGAGAGAGAGGAGAGAGAGAGGAGAGAGAGAGAGAGAGAGAGAGAGAGAGAGAGAGGAGAGAGAGAGAGAGAGAGAGAGAGAGAAAAGGGAGAAAGAGAAAGAGAGAGAGAGAGAGAGAGAGAGAGAGAGAGAGAGAGAGAGGAGAGAGAGAGAGAGAGAGAGAGAGAGAGAGAGAGATAGAGATAGAGAGAGAGATAGAGAGAGAGATAGATAGATAGTAGGGAAGAGGTGGTACTGAGAGAAAACCATCAACTGAAAAGATGGTGAGGTCACAGTTGATATAGCAAACCCATGTCAATTAAGAAATCAGTCTGCAGCAAAATTGTGATCATCAGAGAGAAAAATAGGCAAAGAGACAGTTAGGATGAAATACAGGACAGTTATAGGCCTGTGAGAACAGACTCCACATGGAATGAAGATGTAATGGAGGTAGAGCCAGTAGATGGTGCTCAGGTCAAATGCTCCTTATTGGTGTAGGGCATAACGATGTATCCCTTAGTTTGCCTCTGACTGCCATCTATAAAGTCTGTTGACCAGACTTGAGAGCCTCTTTTGATGCTTGGGTTAAGATCCAAAGTCATGGTGTATATCCCCCCTGAGCCAAGCACATTGTTGTCATACCAAAATGAGCTTCACCACTGACACACATTCCCTTCAATGGGTAAGACTTGATGTTGAAGGGCCATTAATCAAAAGAATGAACTATCTTCCCTTTTCTCAGATTAAACCTGACTACCTTCCATTCCCTAGGCACTGTAAGACTTATGAATTTGCTATTTAAGAACACTGATACCTGACAAACAAAATAAGATTGGGTATAATCTTAGCACAGCACTCCCCTAATGTGACCTACTTAAGTGAGAAAAAAGCTGAAACTGAATAAAAGCCTGAAAGATAAGGTGAAGAGTCAATTTAATTTGGGATCCACTGGAATTTGTCATCTGAGGTGTGACTATTCTTAAAGTGGCCTCAGTTGTATGCAGTAGTTTACTCCTTAAATAACTGGTAATCCACTTTTCTGTAAGTACTGCACATGTTATATGTATTTTGGTACACACTGTCTCTGTTTTAATAAAGTCAGTTATGACTGTTTTCACATTGAAATCTGCCCTGTCCCTGTTACCCTGTAGTCTTGAGTGACCCATAATGTGTGGTTAATTTTTAAGAAATGCAGGTGCCTGATTCATCTTCTACAGAAAATACTTTCATAGTAACAAATTTTGTTCAAAGAAAATGGCCAAACACTAAAGTTCACCAGATCCTGCACATACTGTTGCTCATCTTCAGAGCCACCAGTCCTTGATCACTACTTCCCTAGGATATGCCAAACATCCATGAAGTCACTGTGAAGCAGAAGTCCAAGCTAGGACAGGGTAGCCCAAAGAAAACAAACTTGCCCTCACTTGAGTTCTAGCTGCCTTTCCAGGGAACTCCACCAGGTCCATTGTTGATCTCTATCAAACTGCAATATTCCTACCCCATTTTCAAAGTACTGTACAGACAATGTACTTCCCAAACCACAAAACTCAAGTGTTCAGCTAGCTGATTTCCTTGAATGTTTTCATACAGTATATTTTTTTTATTTTAACATACTGGCTGTCTCCCATCAAGTCAGGGTGACCCCCCAAAAAAAAAAAAACACTTTCATCATCATTTACACTATCACTGTTTTGACAGAGGCATGTAGATACAACAGTTTAGATGCTCCTCCAGACAGAAAATATCCTAAACTACTCCTTCAGAGTGCAGGCACTGTATTTCCCACCTCCAGGACTCAAGTCCAGCTAACCAGTTTCCCTGAATCCCTTAACAAAATACCACCTTGCTCCCACTCCAACAGCTCATCAAATCCCAAAAAACCACTTGTCCCCACTCATTCCTATCTAACATATTCACACACTCCAGCATGTCAATTCCCTTGACTTATTCCAATTAACCCTTTCAGGGTCGAGAGGCACTCTCCTAAACTCATTCTCAGGGTCAAAAAATTTTCGGAAAAAAAAAAAAAAAAAAATTTTTTCTTATGAAATGAGAGAATCTTTTCCCGACCATAATGACACCAAAAGTATGAAATCTGATGGAAAACTTAAGGAATTATGCTCTCACAAAGTTAGTGGTTTCAACGACGTTTACCCATCGGCAATTTCGCCCACTTTGAGCCTCATTTTTGGCCAATTTCAGTGTACTAGTCGACAAAAATCATATCTATTTCACTAGAACTCCATTTTTTCTATCGAATGAGTACAAGAAACCACCCATTTACCGATTTCAAGTATCCAATAAAGTGGTCAGAAATTGGCAATTTTGCCAATTTCAGAAGATGCCAATTTCCAAATAGGGTTCAGAATAAGCAAGACAGACATTCCTGGCACTAAAATAACATTTTCTCTTTTCATTAGTCATATCCCCAGGCCCCTCATACATCTCTTTTGCTTTCCACTTTTAATTTTTATTCTCACAAAAAATAGAAGATTTACTGCTATGCAGACTACTGCATTAGTGTAGAAATGATGTAGAAATGGTATAAATAATATCACTGCACTTGTGAAAGAATATTAGACTCACCAGTTGATGTGTATTGGACGCTTGGCATGATTTGTTTACTTTTGAAATTTGGTAAAAATCAAACATTTCTGCTACTTTGAGCTCAATTTCAAGATACTTTTCATTGTGAAACCAGTCAAAATCATCTCGATTTCTGTAACATGTCTTCCATTCTATGAAATGAGACCAGGAAGACTAGAATACAACCATAAATACCATATGAAAATACACTGCAAAGTCACTGTTTTAAACCAAAAACACGGTCGGAGTTTTTTTTCTCATTATGCACTGTATGCTGCAGGATTTTTTTTATACTATGCACAATGACCACATAGACCCATTCTTTCATATGTAGGCCTACCAGTTTTCTCTCACTAGATTTGAAGGCACTAGAATTTAGGCGTTCTAGTACGTCAATAACCCTGGTGCGTAAGCCGTACTAGTACGTCGGAAACCCTGAAAGGGTTAACACTTTTATGAGGATTTGAGCACCTACCTCTTAATGCCTCTTTCATATTGTCCTTCCCACCATTCCTTGGATTACCTCTACCCATCCCATCTACTCCAGACATACAGTATGTACATAAAGAACTTCTTTACTAACTTATCTTGCTCCATTTTTCATGACTAAACCATCTTTACATTTCTTTTGCTCTATGAATTATACCTTTCATACCACTATGCTTCTTCTAACTTCTCCACTCCTTATTCTCTATATACAATAATATAGGTTACTATCTTCGTAAGGTACATTAATACTGTAAGCATGATAAAATAATTCAAAACAGGATACCACAAGCATAGTTCTACTTTTGTAGAGCTACGCTTGTGGTAAATACACTCTCAGTGTATTTTCATTAAATAAGCCTACCATAATCCTTTTAAATATTTCCCACTACTTTGGTAGCACATATAAACCGCATCTTAGAAAAAAGCCTTTCTACACCTGCCAAAATGAGATCCAGCTCTCTCATATGCTGTCTACAACTTCACCAATATCATGCATCCTTATTTCCTATCTTCAGAAAAAGGCCTCATGTATACTCTTGTTTTTTCTCTAAGAATCTTTTAATATGGCTTTCTATAATTGGTATATTAAATTTTGTCCCATTTTAAATTTTTGCCATTTGCAGATCAATAGAATATACTTAACTCACAGTTTACGTATATTAAAGTCCCCCACAAATTAAGAAAAAATGAACCAAGTATGTAATTATTTACACATGATGACAACCTCTTTGGTAAAAAATAAGATTTAACACTCACCAGATGGTGCTGTGGCCCTGGATGAACTTGTAAAGATAACTCTTGGTTGAGGTCACCACAGTAGCCTTGGCTGGATGCTTCACCACCTTCCCCCAGGCTTGACCACTGAGAATGCATAATTTGATAACAATTATATTTAGGCAACTTATCAAAATAATTTAAGTACATAGAACAATGTATTCAAATTACCTATACTGTGCTATACAAGAGGTTCTGAACTTACAAACACCCTAAGTTACACACAATGAAAATTAAGAGGAGAGTCCAAGAGCTCAAGCTCATCCCCCAGAAACTCAAATAGGTAATTTCATCTGCACTTGCAAACAAGGATACTTAAGTACTGGCACAACTCAATTTTGCAACTTAAAATTGCAAACCAACCACAGGATTTCCCACACTCAAATCTGTTTTCTTTCTAGTTAATCTTTCTTATGAATGTCAATATAAACCAATTTTGAGTTATATATACAGAGATATTGCTAAAAACAGTAAATGTGAGACGGCAACTGGGAACCACATGTTGTGACAATGTTTACTAACAGCTGCAGCACCACTTTCCACTGCCATATCCTTTGCCCCACATATCAGATGAGTGTGTCTATTTGCAAGTCATTAATTGGCTTCAAAGTGCTAACATCATAAAAGCAGAATACAGTGGACCCTCGAGTTTCGGCAGCATCGACTTTCGCGAAATTCGACCTTTGGCAAGTTTTTTTGGCAAAATTTGGCCTCGAGTTTCGTGATTAGACTCGTGTTTCAGCAACCGTCCAGTACCCGTCCGCCCGTCACTGCGCACACCAAGCCAGTCTCCCATTCCATTCACGCTGTGCCACTGTTTACCAACATGTGACGATCACCCTGCGGGTTCATACAATACATTTCATAATAATCCATTGTTTTTTGTGCTTGCAACTGCTAAATAAGTCATCATGGACCCAAGGAAAGCTAGTGCAAGCTCTTTGGTAAATAAAGTGAGGAACACGATCCAGAGGGATTTTGAAGGGTTTGAGGCAGACCCTGCCCCTGCCGACCCTCTGCCTGTTGTGGAAGGTGTTGTGGCATTGGGCAAGTCCATGGGGTTGGAGGTGAGTGATGGGGATGTGGAAGAGTTGGTGGAGGACCACAGGGAAGAGCTAACCACTGACGAACTGCAAGAGCTTCAACTGGAACAGCATCAGACCACAGCCGAGGAACTTGCTTCAGAGGAGGAGGAAAAGAGAGTGAAGGAGGTTCCTTCTTCAGTGATTAAGGACATGTGTGGAATGTGGAATGAGCTGCAAAATTTTGTTGAAAAGTATCACCCTGACCAAGCTGAAACAAGCCATATCTGCAACATGTACAATGACAGTGTTGTGTCCCACTTCAGGGAAATCTTAAAGAAACGCCAGAAAAAGACCTCTCTGGACAGATATTTTGTGCGACAGGGGTCCAGTGACTCTCAAGTTGTTCCCAGTGGCATTAAAAGAAGAAGGGAAGTAACCCCAGATAAGGACTTGCTACCTAAAGTCCTAATGGAAGAAGATTCTCCTTCCAAACAATAGTGTACACCTTCTACCTATCCCCTCCTCCCGTGTTCCATCCACCCAGAAGTCTTCAGTAAATGTAAGTGTAATGTTATTATTATTTTTTATATGTATGTACTTGATTTCTCATTGATTTCAGTATATAAATCTTTATTTAATTTGAAAAAAAAAAAAAAAATTATTTTAATATTTTTGGGTGTCTGGAACGAATTAATTTTATTTCCATTGTTTCTTATGGGGAAAATGGTTCCGAGTTTCGTGAATTTCAACTTTTGGCATGCTCTCTGGAACGGATTAATCACGAAACTCGGGGGTCCACTGTAGTTAGGTCAGAACACCATAGTTTGAAGACCTACTGTGTTTTAATAATTTCTAGTAAAATGCAACTACAGTAGTCAGATAAAAAAAAATTGCAGTTAAGTAAATTACAGCATATAGATAGGGATCAGAGGGATGGTTCATTGGACAAAATGTATGTTAAACGAATCACATTTACCCACGAAAGTCCATGTTAAAACTTGATCTTGGCACCGAGATGATAATATTCCACATCTAATTCCTATTTATTTATTAATGATGAAATTAAAAAAAAAAAAAAATGTGCTCACCAGATATGAAATCATTGTTTAGAAGAGGCATAACTGTGTTATACCCCCTCTTCCCTTTTCTGAGTGCATTATGCCAAAAAATAATTAAAAAAAAAATAAAAAAGTAGTACTGTAGTCAGGATACATCACATTGTGTGTTTGTTATTGTTGGTTTGAAAGGGTGTGACAGCCCCTAGACCATCAGTAGCATAGCCTATCATAACCTATTAACCCAAAATTACTTGTTAGCCTAGGGTAACCTCATAAAAGAAAATTTGCATAAAACATAACAGCATAAAGTGAGGGAAACCTATACATGTACAGTATTACTTATGCAATAAAATCACAGTAAACAGGTGATATCACAATACGCAGAACAACCACTGTGAAAAAATAGCGAAATTCCAAGTGCTTTCGTGACTTCTCACATTATCCAAGAACTATAAAAATATATTTTTATAGTTCCTTGATAATGTCAGAAGTCACAAAAGCACTTGGAATTTCACAATTTTTTGACAGTGGTTGTTCTGCAGTACAGTAGTACCTTGACTTACGAGTGCCCCTACTTACGAGTTTTCCAAGTTATGAGTCATTGCTCAGTCGATTTTTTGCTCTGAGTTGCAAACCAAAATCAGAGTCACGAGCAAAAAAAAAAAAATATTTACTGAAAATGACATTTGGCAAGAACCCCGGCCTAAATGACACAACAAAAGGTGGTTTTGGGACTTGGTTTTTGACATTTGCAAAATATCTTGCCCTTTACTCCCACACAAATCCCAAAATACTTGGAATACAGTGGTACCTCGGGATACAATTTTTTTTTGTTCCAGGAGCCTGTTCAAGTGCTGATACCGAATGAATTTGTTCCCATGCGGAATAATGTAAATCAGATTAATCAGTTTCAGACCCCCAAAAATACACTTACAAAAGCACTTACATAAATGTTAGAGTTTTGTGCTGTTCGCATCCCGAGGTACCACTGTACGTATTTCCAATATTCCACAAGCCAACTGTAGAGCAATCTTTTTTTTTTATGATTCTTGTCAATATTATTGCAATTACTTCAATAATAAATGGCGAGCTTCATGAAATAAGTCAATAACTTACTTCCAAGATATTCATATATGTATATCACTGCACTAGTGATCTACCGCAGTTAGCCTCTCAAAAACTCCGTTTTCTCTTACCCAGGACCAAAGAACACGTTATAGGAAGGAGCAGTAATACGCAATTTTATATGTTCAAACTGGTTCTGGGCACTCGCCATATTATGGCCTATTTCATTCATTCTAGAGTATGTATCATGTTTCTATGTTACTTATAGTGTTTATTATGTCATATTAGATCAATTCTGATAGATAAATAAGCTGGAGAGTTGATTTTAGCGTTATATTGAAGTATTTTCTCCAGCCCCTGGGGTGGCTTTTTTGGGGGCTGGAATGGATTAATGGCATTTCAATTAATTTCAATGAGGAAAATTTATTTGATACATGAGCAAATTGAGTTACGAGCTCGGTCACGGAATAAATTAAACTTGTAAGTCAAGGTACCACTGTATTACTCATGTAGAACCAATAGTTTTTATGTTAATCATGACTATAATAATAATACTGTATAGTAGTGCAGATTTATTTGTAATGCGATACTGAAACAAAATTTAAAACTTTCTTGTAAAATGAATCAGGTACAAGTATCTTTGGTTTTAGGTTGTAGATGAGTTTCAGAACCATGGCAGCTGTACTAGGCTCAATCAAGTGGGAAGTACAGTGCATGCACTTTGAAGGAGCAGGTGGGGATGTTGCAGTTTGAAGGAGGGTTAGGGATGTTGCAGTTTGAAGGAGGGTTAGGGATGTTGCAGTTTGAAGGAGGGGTGAGGATGTTGCAGTTTGAAGAAACAGTGGATATGTTGCAGTTTGAAGGAGTGGGGATGTTGCAGTTTGAAGGAACATTGGGGATGTTGCATTTTGAAGAAATGGTGGGGATGTTGCAGTTTGAAGGAATGGTGGGGATGCTGCAGTTGGAAGGAACGGTGGGGATGTTGCAGATTGAAGGAACGGTGGGGATGTTGCAATTTGAAACAATGGTGGGAATGTTGCAGTCTGGAGGAGTGGAGATGTTGTAGCTTGAAGGAGAGGTATGGATGTTGCAGTTTGAAGGGTCATCTGAACTGGGATGTGATCCATAGAAAAGATATTGTAAATGTTGTATTTAACTAATAGTAATCTATTTATGCTCTGCCTAAAACATTATACACTGCATTTACCACAGGAACTTTCAATAACAAAACAGTAATACCCTTATCAGAAGTTGCTGTGACACATATTATCTGATCATTTATCATTGTATAAATACAGATTTCAATGTCCATACTCAAACACATTACTTCATGTATTCGAAGTCCTATAAATCACAAAACTATATTCAATTGTATAGTTAATAAACTGAGGCTTCTTCTCACCACCACACATTCAATTAACTAACCACCATGTATCCAAAGGCTCTGAAATGCTCAAAGACTGGTCTACAGTGGTTGTAACTGAAAGTGGAAGGTAAACCTGAAGATTCTGAATGGTCTATTTCTTCTTCTTCACACACCGCCATATCCAAGGTTAAGAAACTAAACGAGCCCACATAGTCAATACCCGATTCTTGTAACCGCCTTCATCTCCAGGTTTACCAGCTCTTCTTAACACTAATAGAGATTCTGATCCACCTAAATTTGATATATTCTATTATTATTAAAATTATTTAGAAGTCTAATCCATCACTGTAATACAGTTCCATGGGCAATAGGTGGTAATCAATTTGAAATGAAGAGAAGTGAAGCTTTAATTTCTTGGATGAAGAGCCCTTTACTAGCATCAAGGCAACCCCCCCCCCCCCAACATCCCTTGAATTGATGTATTCTACTAGCATTTACTGTACTTTAAAAATATGTACTGCTACTCCTTTCTAATTACTTTTTCCAAATAAAAAATTTAATTTAGGTAGAAGCAGTGTGTATTTAATAAAAAAAAACAATGTTCACATCTACTCTTGATTATTCAACACAGTGTATGAAATTATACTATACCAACATAAGTATTTGATACACAGAATCTTACTTCAGAAATTTCATGTAAATATTCCTTTTATTTTTATTATTTTAATTATTTTTAATTATTTTTTATTTTTCTATTATTTTTTTATTTTTATTTTTTTTATTTTTTATTTTTTATTTTTATCCATAGGGAAGTGGAACAGAATTCTTCCTCTGTAAGCCATGCGTGTCGCAAGAGGCGACTAAAATGCCGGGAGCAAGGGGCTAGTAACCCCTTCTGTATATATTACAAAATTTAAAAGGAGAAACTTTCGTTTTTCCTTTTGGGCCACCCCACCTCAGTGGGATACGGCTGGTGCATTGAAAGAAAGAAAGATATATATATACAAGGCAGGGTGGCCCAAAAAGAAAGAGGAAAGTATATCTATATATAACTGAACTTAGCCTACACCGTATACCTAACTATACCAAAACAAATTTAAATAACATTAGCGGTATACAATTTATAGAGAATCTTTTTATCACATACTTTAATATTTTATACATTCTTGTTATACGAGAACTGAACTGCATTTTACAATTTAACCGAATTTCATGTCTGTTACAGTTTGCATGTACTGTACCTGTACAATACACACCTCAGCTTGAGCCTCTGGTGATTCCTTTGTAACTGGTAGACATTCTAATCTTTGTTCCATCTCTTGATCTTGGTGTTGCTCTGGCTGTTGATCTAGTCCACTTCTATCTCCTTGTTTCTCTATTTTTTGATCATGCTTTTCATCTACCCTTTGATTTGTTTTATTATGGTGCCTATTTGTAGCAGTTTGTTCCTGCAAGTATTCACTGTCTTTATTGTTAAATGGGGAAGAGCGAGGTGATGGCATAGTGGAACGTAAGGACTGTCTTTCACACTGGGACGGACTTTTACTATTTTCTCTTCTTTGCCTCTTTGGATGTGGACTGCTTCTATCATCAGTTGAACCTCGAACATGTCCAGACTTTTTACTGCCAGTTGTCGGAGGTTCATCAGGAACAGCCAATCCCTTTATTTGTAATAATTCAGCAGCCTTGATCAACTGAGCCAAGTCATTCTGAGCCACACTCACAACTCCTGCATACATATAACTGAGAAGTGCCTCAATGTCTCTACATTCCACATCCTTCATAACAATGATTGGATGTTTACATGGAGTTCTTTCAAACATCTTTTGAAAATACTCACTACATGTTGATAGCACTAACTTGTGTGTGGGATAAAATTTTCCTTCACAAGCAATTGTTACATCAGTGTATCTCTCCTGAAAGATGAAAGAAAATTAAATGTAAACAGTCAAATACAGTGTAATATTGGAGAAAAATAAATCCAGCTTATATTATTGCAAACTTGTGATATACAGTAAGAAGAGAAAATCTAATGCTATAAACTTAAATTTCACTTGTATAGATGGTAAGCTTTGTTACTAATCAAGCTGGACATTTTAACAAATTACATACCATAAAAAAGGCAATTAAAAATTTTTGAAGGGATTAATACTAATACAAATTACCAATTTCTTGTTGCATGACTTGAAATAAATGAACAATATTTAGCCTTAAACTATAACTATACAGTACTATTTACAATAATCATTATCAATATTCTATGAAAACTCCCCTAATTCAATATATCAGCTGAAGATGCATAATCAAATCTGCACTGACATACCATATCTCGTAATGAAGAGAGCATGTGGCTGAATGTAGAGCTGTGGTTGTTCCATGACAAAGAGAGCATTCCATCTGCCATTGTGCCTCAACATTAACCTGTTAACAGAAACAAAAAATTACTAGGTAGTACCTATATAAAATAAAAAATAAATAAATAATAAATAATAAATAATATATAATATATATAAATATATATATTAATATAATATATATATATATTATATATATATATATATATATAAATATTATATATATAATATATTATATATATATATATATATAAAATAAATATATATATATATATATATATATATATATATATATATATATAATATATATATATATATATATTATATATATATATATATATATATATTATATATATATATAAATATATATAATATATATATTGGCAGTTTGGAGGGATATGTTGTGTATCTCTATACGTATATGCTTCTAAGCTGTTGTATTCTGAGCACCTCTGCAAAAGCAGTGATAATGTGTGAGTGTGGTGAAAGTGTTGAATGATGATGAAAGTATTTTCTTTTTGGGGATTTTCTTTCTTTTTTTTGGGTCACCCTGCCTCGGTGGGAGACGGCCGACTTGTTGAAAAAAAAAAAAAAAAATATATATATATATACTACAGTAATAGTAGTAGTGCTAGTAGTATTGCAAGTAGTAATGCCAGTAGTAGTAGTAGTAATAGAAGTGCTAGTAGTAGTAGTAATAGTAGTTAGTAGTGCTAGTAGTAGTGCTAGTAGTAGTAGTAGTAGTAATAGTGCTAGTAGTAGTAATAGTGGGAGTGCTAGTAATAGTGGGAGTGCTAGTAATAGTAGTAGTGCTAGTAGTAATAATACTAGGAGTAATAGTACAGTACTATGTGCCCCAAATGGCCCTACTTACAATACCACTCTCTAATCTACCCTTACCTCACCTATGATATTTGTGTTTGGGGATCTACTACGACAAATTACCTCAAACCATTAATAACCCAACGAAAAACTGCTGTGTGGATTATCACCCATTCCTGGGCCAGACACTACACCCCTCTGCTCTTCAAGAGTTTGAACTTACTTAATATACAAAATATGCACTCATATTCCTGTGCCTATTATATATACATATATAGAACATTAAACTCAATATAAACCCTCCCCTCAAACTTCTTGATAGCTACAACAGAACACACAGGCACAACACAAGGCACAAAACTCTCCTTGACATTCCCTGTGTCCACCTCACCTTAAAATGATAAAGATTTTATTTCTTTGTAAAGGTTACAATGTGTAATTACAATTTTGGTTTGCTAAGTACAAATAAAGCCACTATCATGCTGGGGCATTTCTGGCAGACTAATCCTAGTACATAATAACTAGTACTTAAATCTTGACAAGATAGTGATTAACTTATTAAAATCTTATTTAATCTTAATACTTATGTGAGGTAGTCAAGGTGGAGGTTTATAAGAATAATAATGTTGAAGTTACATACAATAAAAACAATATTATACTTCATTGATTAGCAGATGTTTAAATTAGTAATTTTATCTCATTCCAGCACACAATGATGCAAGGTGACAACAGTCCATCTGGCAAAGTTCACATTTCATTTGGTCTACATCTAGTGGCAGTGATTTAACCTCCCAAAGATACATGAAACCTAGCTGGAGCCGGGCAGTAGTGACATCCAAGAGTCTACTTATTTTGTTGGATGCACTATAGACATGTGGCTCCTCCTGTATGATAGAATGATGATAGATGGACTGACTGGTGTCAATCTCCCCGAGTCTTAGGTCAACAAAGTTCAGTTGAAGTTCTTTTCGTATTATTTTTCTCAAATACTGTACAAACAAATCACATGTAAACTACATTTTGTATACTATACAAAGAAATTATTTTTGTTTTTGTTCATTTGTTTGTTAGTACTTATGATGACATTTCCATCTAAGTTAGACCATTATCTGTCCCATTTTATTTGTGTTGTAATCTAAGTAACTGCTCTGTCTTTATTCAATCACTCTACAAAACTGAAGATCTTTGAATCAGCCTGAAATATGTAATTTTTTGTAAATGACCTTTTACCATTACCTACCTTTCTTATTGAATTTATGAGTGTAGTTAACTTCACATGATGTCTTACTTAATAGTCTATATCTAGTTCTAAAGTAGCATGTAAGCCTTATGATTAATTGCCTGAAAAGCATTGCATTATTAGTGAATTACTTTTGTGCTTACTAATGTATTTAACTACATTTTTTTGTATGGCTCACAGAAATAAATATTATTATTTTTATATAAGTACTGTCGGGAATCTGTCTTCGAGTACCGTCAAGAAACCTGTCTTTGAGCACTGTCAAGGAGCCTGTCTTCGAGCACTGTCAAGGAGCCTGTCTTCGAGCACCGTCAAGGAACCTGTCTTCGAGCACCGTCAAGGAGCCTGTCTTCGAGCACCGTCAAGGAGCCTGTCTTTGAACACCGTCAAGGAACCTGTCTTCGAGCACCGTCAAGGAACCTGTCTTCGAGCACCATCAAGGAACCTGTCTTCGAGCACCGTCAAGGAACCTGTCTTCGAGCACCATCAAGGAACCTGTCTTCGAGTACCATCAAGGAACCTGTATTCGAGTACCGTCAAAGAACCTGTATTCAAGTACCACCAGGAGCCCGTCTTCGAGTACCGCCAGGAGCCCATCTGCAAGTACCACCAGGAGCCCATCTTCCTGTACCGCCAAGAGTCCGTCTTCCAGTACCATCAGAGAGCCTGTCTTCAAGTACTGTCAGAGTCTGTCTTCAAGTATCGTCAAAGCCTGTCTTCAAGTACTGTCAGAGAGTGTGTCTTTAAGTACCATCAGTCTGTCTTCAGGTACCATCAGAGTCTGTCTACAAGTACCATCAGGAGTTTGACACAAGTAACAATAGTGGCCCTACACAATGCTCTTTTCAGAGCCATCTTTCCAATGAAGCAAGTGATGAAGTGAGCAACCACCACCACAACAACCCACTTCACCACAACCATCACCACAACCACCACCACAACCCATTTCACCACAACCACCATCATCACAACAACCACCACCACCATTACAACAACCTACCACCACCACTGCAACAACCTACCACCAACATTATCACAATCATAACAACCTACCATCACCATTATCTCAACCACCACAGTCTCTCGCTTTAGCTACAATTAAACAGTGATATCATAGTATACAGCACCAATGTAATACCAACACAATGATGGTAGTGTAATATTGTTACGTCCAGCAGCAGCAGTAACAGCAGCAGCAGCAGCAGTAACAGCAGCAGCAGCGGCGTTACCACAACAATGACCTGAGCTCAGCTACCATGTATATAAACCTACAATTATAATACAACTTTTATTTAACCTCTTCATGAATAACATATATTTATTTTTAAATGGACTTGAGGGCACACACACGTTATGGACACTTAAATTAATATATTGCATTTAGGTCCTGGTCAGTATTGAGTTCAGGTTCTGATTTATATTGATTCCAGATTCTGTTCTATATTGGTTCCAGGTTCTGCCCTATATTGACTCCAGGTTCTGCTCTATATTGACTTCAGGTTCTGCTCTGTATTGACTCCAGGTTCTGCTCTGTATTGACTCCAGGTTCTTCCCTATAGTGTATCCAGGCTCTGCTCTATATTGGCTCCAGGTTCTGCTCTATATTGGCTCCAGGTTCTGCTCTATATTGGCTCCAGGTTCTGCTCTATATTGGCTCCAGCTTTTGTTCTACATTGACTCCAGGTTCTGTTCTATATTGACTCCAGGTTCTGTCCAATATTGACTCCAGGTTCTGCTCTATATTGACTCCAGGTTCTGCTCTGTATTGACTCCAGGATCTTCCCTATATTGTATCCAGGCTCTGCTCTACATTGGGTCCAGGTTCTGCTCTATATTGGCTCCAGGTTTTGTTCTACATTGACTCCAGGTTCTGTTCTATATTGACTCCAGGTTGTTCTATATTGACTCCAGGTTCTCCTCTATATTGACTCCAGGTTCTGCTCTATTGACTCCAGGCTCTGCTCTATATTGGCTCCAGGCTCTGCTCTATATTGACTCCAGGCTCTGCTCTATATTGGCTCCAGGTTCTGTTCTATATTGGCTCCAGGTTTTGCTTTATATTGACTCCAGGTTCTGCTCTATATTAACTCCAGGTTCTGCTCTATATTGACTCCAGGTTATGCTCTATATTGACTCCACATTAAATTCAATATGGCGTTTCCCCCCCCCGGCGTCACTTAGCAGCTGTTTTACACCCCCCTCACTCGAAATATCTCGAAAGGGTCAAATCAGCATCATATTTTATTACACAATTATTATATTATTCATTTATATGCCATTCGTCGCTCAACCCTTGGGACGAGCGGACGTGTACTGAGCCTGCCCCCTACTGTCAGCTGGTGGAAGTGGAAACTTGATTTTCTCAAAATGGCGCAGCAGGGTAGACGCTGGGTAAATACTGCCGGCATAGAAGTGGTGCATGGAGCTGTGTTTGCCCACTCACCTCAGGTTTTACTGCCTGCCATCATCAGAGACACATACAGTATAGCAAATGAAGAGCTGTATGGTGTGGCGTGAATGTAGCATACCGGATCTTCGTGAATTTTCGTAGGCCAGCGTATATGAAGAGAAGGTCACCAGATTTCAGGATATTTGTATGCCAGTGAATCCTGCTGTGATGGTGAGGCTCCATGACGTGTCCCGTTATTACACGTGGGTGAAGATACGGAATGTGCCTTTTGAGGCTGATGAGGCGGACTTACGTGCCGTGTTTGTAAGGTATGGGACAGTTCACATGGCTACGTTGAGGAAGTGGAAGGAAGGTTCATATACTGGGATACCTGAGGGAAGTTTCTCCTTGAAGATGACATTACAGCATCCCATTCCTTCATACGTTCAACTAGATGACTTCAGGATGCAAGTAATGGTGACCTACTCAGGGCAACGACGTACTTGTCACTTATGCAGGGCCTATGACCACACTGCAGTGAAGTGTGATTGTCAGCAGGGTATGCAGGCGACTGATCTTCATGCGAAGATACGGAGGACCAGAAGATGGAGGAGCCCAGGCCGGAAAAGCCTATATTGCGTAAGGCTTGGAGTGTGGAGGTGGACGAGGCGGAATTGATGGAGGGAGATTGTGTAACGCTTCCGGGGGGCCGAGCTCTTCCGGGCAGGTACTGGAGGATGTAGGTGAGGTGCCGCCTAGTGAGGACAGGGACATGGAGGTCACCATTGACACCGTGCTCCACAACCTCTTAGGAACTCCAGGTGAGGTGTTTGTTGTGGGACTTGTGGGTGCCCTGGAGTCTGCTGTGGACCCGGGAGACATGGTGGGAGGACTGTCAGAGGCACGAGTCGATGCTGCTTTGTAGAATTGTAATGTGGTGGCAGACGTGCAACGGATGGCTTCCAGGAGGATGTTGGGAAGAAGGCTCGAGGGTCACGGAAGAGAGCAGCTGTTCTCTTGGAAATGGACGATGTGCTCACCCCGGCGCAGCGTCCTGGTAAAAAGGTTTGGGCTAATGTAGAGGAGCGTGGACCTGGAGGCTCCACGGGCAAGGGACCTGTAAAAGGTGGTTCCAGAGGGGCATATTGGGCCCAAGGTGGTATTAGGAGGAAGGGGGAAAGGGGTGTAGCCGTGCCTAAAGGCAAGCCTCCTCGAGAGTCTCCCTATTAATATTAATGGTTTGAGGAATGAAAGGAAGTGTGCATGGTTTCATGAGTTTATAGTGAGGTACGGTGTAGATGTGTTTGTGCAGGAGCACAATCACAAGCAGGGTTGTATGTTGGTGATTGAGGGGTATACTGTAGATGCGGCACACTCTACGAGACTGAATGGAGGAGTGGCTATTTTGATGAGGGAGGCTAGCCTGTTTATTGTGCGTCATTGTGAAGAGGGTGGGGAGAGGAGGGTTATACAAGTGGATGGGTTGTGGGGGAGGGAGAAGGTGACCTTTGTGTGTGTTTATGGCCTGGCGGAGGGGGACGGTAGGGTTAAGAATGAGTTTGTGCATGATGTGTTGGTATATCACCTGAGGTCGCTTCCGGCGGTAGCTGTGGTGGGAGGAGACTGGAATTGTGTGATCCGTCATAGAGACTTGGAACTTAGGGGAGCAGGATATTGTTCTAGTGTTTTGAGGGAGCTGTTAACCGGGTGGGGTTGGTAGATGTGGGGGGTGCAGCATGGGAGGTGGAGCACACCTTTGTGAGGCAAGGGTATGCAGCAAAGCTGGACAGATTATATGTGACTAGAAGAGCAGTGGTACAGAGAGTGAGTGTTTTGGATGTGGTCTTTTCAGACCACAGAGGCGTTTTGGTAGAATCAGGATGGGAAGGGTTGCCGAATAGGTATAAGAGCTACTGGAAATTGATTGTTGTGTTGCTTACTGATGTCGAGGGGAGGGTCTTATTTGTCCATTTATAGGAAAGATTGTTGGAAGGGGTGAGCATGGAGGGGGATGTGCTGAGTTGGTGGAATACAATAGCGAAGACGAAGATTCGGGAATTCTATGTATGCCAGGGGCGGCATGAGAATCAGTTAACTTATGGGCTTATTAGGTATCTTGAGGGGCAGTTACGAGAACGTTATGGGAGAGGGGGAGGGGGGTGGGATCCCCAGTTGTGGACATAGAGGGATTGAAAGATAGACTCAGGGAATTGCAAAATGAATGGTTTGATGTGGTAAGGGTGTTGGGGGGGTTAGAGGAGGTGATATGGGGTGATAGGCCATTGGCATGTGTCCTGTGAGGGCAGGCGTGTCAACGTGTTGCTACGGAAATGGTAGAGTTACGTGTACACGAGGAAATGGAGGGGTATAGGGAGGGGCAAGAGCTGGTCACTACGAAGGGATGGGGGGATATGTGGATACTTGGCTTAGTGCGTATACAAGAAGTGCAGGTGTGAGCATGGAAGCGGTTAGGGAGACGGGAGATTGGGTGCAGTGTGTGTGCTTGACAGGGACGATAGAGAAAAGTTAAATGGGAATATTGCGGAGGAGGAGGTGTGGACGACATTAATGGGCATGAGTTGGGGCAAGGCGCCGGGGATAGACGGGCTGCCGAGTGACTTTTATATACAGCACTGGGGCGTACTAAAGGAGTTTTTAGTGAAATTGTTTAATGTCATGAAAGAGCGGGGAGAGTTGGAGGAGTTGCAAGCGACGGCAATTGTGGTCTTGGTCCCAAAGGGGGATAGTCAGTAAACGGTGAAGGATTACCGAATGATATCACTTATGTGTGTGGATTACAAACTCTGCAAAAATATTGGGTAATCGTTTAAAGAGAGTCATTGGTAAGGTTATAGTAGGGGCCAATATGGGGTACCAGGTAGGTCAGTGTACAAGGGACATGGGGTCATTCGGGGGTTTATAGAGAGTACGCAAGAAAGGGGGAAGGGTATTAGCACTGGATTGGAGGGCGGCATATGATAGTGTCGAGAGGAATGCATTGTGGAGGATCGTGAGGTGGCAGGGGTTTAGGGAGGAAATTGTGCGATAGGCGAGTACTTTGTATCAGGGAGTGGGCGTGTGTGCAGATAAATAGGAGGGTGGGGTCGTGTGTGCGGCTGGGCAGGGGTTTGCGACATGGTTGCCCTCTATCACAAATGCTATTTGCATGTTTACAGACTCCTTTTTACAGGGCAGTGGAACGATGCATGAGGGGGGGTGAGGGATGATTGGAGTGGTGGGAGACCTGGAATCATAGGTTACATTGATGATACGACAGTCCTATTGAGAGGGAGGGAGGGATTGGAGGGTGTGGTGAGGGTCATGGATGTTTTTGGAGCGGCAACTGGTATTGCGGTGAACGTGGATAAATCAAAGCTCATGGGAATAGGGGCAGAGGGGGCAGGGGGGTAGGGGTGATGGGGTGCGGTGGTGTGCTGTGGATCAGGTAAAGATTTGTGGGGTTGTGTATATGGGCAATGTGCAGATGGCAAGGGAGGTTAATTCGAGGTGTGTAGTCGATAGAGTGCTGGGAAGATTAGATGATTTGTGGCCAACCCATCTCACGCTACACCAGAGGGTCATTGTGGTCAATGTGCTTCTATTTAGCAAAATATGGCACGTAGCAGCGATGTACCCTTTGGTGTATGGGGATGTTTGGAGATTTTTGGGTAGGGTTTTCAGGTTTATTTGGGGTTCGGGATGTGACTGGCTAAGGAGAAGGGTGGTAATGCTCCCGGCTGGAGTTAATTCACCTGGAATGTAGGTTGAAGAGCATTTATGTGAAGCACAGGTTCCTGTGGATGTGTGGGGTGGGAGGTTTACCTGGAGTTTACCTGGAGAGAGTTCTGGGGGTCAATA